TTGGGCTAGGTTCACACACTTTATTGAAATAGTCCAATAGCCAAAATATCATAGTATACACAGGATGGGCAGGGTAGTTAACAAGTTTCATGCTGAAAGTGCTTACTCATAACACCGTTATGGGCAGCACAGTGGCTAAGTGGTTAGCACTTCTGCCTGGCAGTGCTAGGATCACTGGTTCGAATCCCAGCCATGGCACCACCTGCCTGGAGTTTGCATTTTCTCCCTGTGCCTGTGTGGGTTTCCTCCGGGTACTCCAGTTTCCTCCCACACTCCAAAGACATGCTGGTAGGTGAATTGGCTCCTGTCTAAAATTGCCCTTCGTATGTATGAATGTAAGTTAGGGACCTTAGATTGTACACCCCTTTGCACCATCTATGGCTTTCCTTAGTCTCAGACAAATGAGAGAGCCTGGGGTGTCAGGAGAACCCTTATCTAGAGGCCAGTAGTGAGCCCACATGGCAAGGTGCTGTAACCAAGGCTAAGGGAGCCAGGAGGGCCAAGAAGAGTTGGGTGATACAGGTCTGAGAGACCAGAGATAATAGCAGCGGTGCTGCTGACAAGGGAGAAAGAAACCCTTGACTTGCAGTCTGGAGCCCTTGACCACAGTTTGGACTGGTGCGTACTTTACTAAAACACATTTATCACTGAGCTAAACATCCCCCACATCACCAAAAAAATATATATATATATATATATATATCCACCATAAAGAAGACTGATTGTTGAAAATATTTTTTTAATATTTACTTTTCTATCATGTTTGCATTTTTAATCAAAAAATTGATTTTATTTTCTCAATAGTTTTTTTAAAGTCCTTGTTCCTGAATGTGTATATGATCAGATTAAGCAATGAAGTCATTACAGTGTAAAAGAGAGAGAAGATCTCCAGTGGTGGACCTGCCAATTCTGGTGTTCAATGGCAAATGCCAATCCAGCTCTATGGTGCCGGACAGTGAGAACAGCGCCCACTAGAGGACTTCAGACCCTCAGGCCACCCTCATGAAGTCTGTTTCTGATTGTTTGGTCATAGACAATCACACCAGGGGCCTGCTGGAGGTCATTTTGTAGGGCTCTGGCAGGGCTCATCCTGTTCCTCCTTGCACAAAGGAGCAGATATTGGTCCTGCTGAGGGGTTAAGAACCTTCTATGGTCCTGTCCAGCTCTCCTAGAGTAACTGCCTGTCTCCTGGAATCTCCTCCATGCTTTTGAGACTGTGCTGGGAGACACAGCAAACCTTTTGGCAATGACACGTATTTATTTGCCATTCTGGACTATATATATATATATATATATATATATATATATATTATTATCATATTTACATAAGCATATGCTTGTTGTTGGGAGTATACATACTGTAGGTGCTATACATGAATTCACATGGCTAAAGGTGACAATCCTTTTAAACCACATGGATGGCATTGTGTAACTGTTTTTGGACAATCAACATCTGCCTTGACATATTCCACGGTGATGGAATTAAGGTGAATCTCCCACCTGTGTGGATGTAAATAGTGAAATATTTTACTATCACTCATCAGAATTGAAGAAGTGGTTTGGAGAAAGTTTGAAACATCTTTAACAGAAACAGTCCAGTTTAATGTGACTAACTACTTCTAGCTTTACCATGACCTGGGTGAATCTTCAAAGAAGTAATAACCCATTTACAAAATCCTACATCCCATATCTATATGTGAAATACACTATATTGCCAAAAGTATTGGGACGCCTGCCTTTACACACACATGAACTTTAATGGTGTCTATGTCTGTAGGGTTCAATATTGAGTTGGCCCCGCCCGTTGCAGCTATAACAGCTTCAACTCTCCTGGTAAGGCTGGTGACTTCTGCGCACTGTGCGCTTCATCATGCGCTGACCCCGCCCTGTCATGTGACGTGGCCTACCACTTGGTGGCTGAGTTGCTGTTGTTCCCAGTTGCTTCCACTTTGTTAGAATCCCACTAACAGTTGAGCGTGGAATATTTAGTAGCCAGGAAATGTCACGGATGGACTTATTGCCCAGGTGACCACCTATCATGGTACCACGCTTGCAGTCACTGAGCTCCTGAGAGCGACCCATTCTTTCACCAATGTTTGTAGAAGAAGTCTTCATGTCTAGGGGCTTGATTTTATACACCTGTGGCCATGGAGGGGATTGGAACTCCTGAATCCAATGATTTGGGTGGGTGTCCCAATACTTTTGACAATGTAGTGTATATTGATTAAAGTATGACACAGTAAACAACTAATAACATCCTTGTAGTTTACTCATGCAATTTGTTTACAATGTGCAGAGGTAATGGCGGAAAATAGGTGAGTGGATAAAAGCTGTAATAACTAGAAAAGCTCCAATTTCTGGGGAAATTGTGTGAAGTGTTCTTGCCTCCACCAGTAGTCTACAACTGGAGTGGGCGGAGTAACTGGGGGGAGTGGCTTGTCACTCTGCTGCCTGCTCACACACCTGGGTTCCTATGGCAACTCACTCTACAGCAAGGGCAGAGAAGAGCGGTTAAAAAAAACAAACTGCTCTAACTTGCTCACTTCACTGGCGGTTGCCATCTTCAAACGTTTGTAGTTTAAAAACTATAAATCCTACACTGAAGAGCTTTATATTGTGAGAATCACAAGACCCAGACCTACATTTTGATGCATAGTATGTCTCTGAAACAGGGGTGGACTGACAACTCATGGGGCCCCCGGGCAATAGGGGATCATGGGGCCCCTGTGTCCTTGCCAAAACTCAATAAAGCCTATGAAAAAGGTACCAGGGGCATCTCATGGGGCCCCCTACTGACCCCGGGCCCTCGGGCAGTGCCCGAGTTTCCAAATGGTCAGTCCGCCCCTGCTCTGAAATATTAAAAATGAAGGCACAGTTGCCATTTAGAAATTGCCCTTCAAATTTGAGGTGGCTAGAGTGGAATTTCAATGAATGTCAATGGGCGGCGTGAGTTGCAAACACATGGTCATATTGTGAAAACTATCAGGACTATGGCTTAGCCGTGGACATTTGTAGTGGCAGCAGGGATAGCTGAACGTTTTGATATAAGATTTGTGTAGGTGGGCTTGATAATGAGGGAGTGATGGCAGTTTAGAAATCATGTCCTGATTTTTCAGCTCACGCTCTAGCTTTTGTCAGCTCCCACTCTAGTTTTGAACATTCTGCCATTCATTCCTATGGGACCAATTTCACCACAAAAACGCCGATATTTCGTGAACCATTCGGCGAAACGTTCCACAAAGTCATAGCGCACCAATCGGGAACAATCCGCACGTTTCAGTATATTACTGTCTATGTAGTGTAAAAACTGTGGGAGGAGTTAGGGGGGTAAATGTGGCTATAATAATAATAATATATATGTGAGATAACAGGACGCGGTCTCCATGCAAGAACACTTAATAAACATGGAATTCCCTACTGCTTCTATTTTATGATTGTCAAAGGGTGTATGTCAGGGGAAATGCAGTTTTAAAAAATAATTTCTACAATATTATTATATAGAAGATTAATTAGCAATGCAAAACACAGCCCACCGAGGAGGACTAAATGTATAAAAGGTTTTCAGGTCTACTAAGTAAATAGCAGAGACTAAAAATTCACTGGAAGTGGTAGATTATTTCTAGTAAAATAGATGATTGATGATCTGACATTGCTTGCTGGGGATTTGCAAAGTAAACTATTACATCCAGACAACATCTCTACAAACACGCAGGGATTCGAGGTGCGGTATGTAACAATTGTTTGGAGAAAAAATGAAAACATAGGCACAGCATAGACTTGTGATTTTGTGTTTCTATACAGATGAAGAATTGTAGAAGTATATGAAGTAGGATTAGATATGCTTCACAACCTCCTCCACCTCCACCACCCACTATATCCAGGTCACTTCCAATAATTATACAGCAAATTGCAACTCAGCTCAACAAATGCCAAAGGAAGGTGGAATTATACATTTCCATTTTGAGTATTGTTATTGTATTCCTCACATTTTGTTTTTGCAATGCTATTTCTTTTCAGTGTTCCATTATCTAACTTGCTGACTGTCTCTGTTTTCATATACTCTCCCTTCCATTGAGGGAAATGCCATGTGCTTTTGTATTTATTGTTCCTATTTATTCTAAAGAATAAAAACCAATCATTTAAAAGTGTGTTCAAGCCTAAAGTGTTACTAAACCCCCGGACCCTGCAATCACTATATCTGGTCTCCCCGGACCCTGCATTCACTATATACGGTCTCCCCGGACCCTGCATTCACTATATTCGCTCTCCCCGGACCCTGCATTCACTATATCTGGTCTCCCCAGACCCTGCATTCACTATATCCGGTCTCCCAGGACCCTGCATTCACTATATCCGCTCTCCCCGGACCCTGCATTCACTATATCTGGTCTCCCTGGACCCCGCATTCACTATATCCGGTCTCCCAGGACCCTGCATTCACTATATCCGCTCTCCCCGGACCCTGCATTCACTATATCTGGTCTCCCCGGACCCTGCATTCACTATATCTGGTCTCCCCGGACCCTGCATTCACTGTATCTGCTCTCCCCGGACCCCGCATTCACTATATCTGGTCTCCCCGGACCCCGCATTCACTATATACGGTCTCCCCGGACCCTGCATTCACTATATCCGGTCTCCCCGGACCCTGCATTCACTATATACGGTCTCCCCGGACCCTGCATTCTCTATATCTGGTCTCCCCGGACCCTGCATTCTCTATATCTGCTCTCCCCGGACCCCGCATTTACTATATCCGGTCTCCCCGGACCCCGCATTCACTATATCTGCTCTCTCCGGACCCCGCATTCACTATATCCGGTCTCCCCGGACCCTGCATTCTCTATATTTGCTTTCCCGGACCCTGCATTCTCTATATCTGCTCTCCCCGGACCCCACATTCACTATATCTGCTCTCTCCGGACCCCGCATTCACTATATCCGGTCTCCCCGGACCCTGCATTCTCTATATCTGCTCTCTCCAGACCCCGCATTCACTATATCCGGTCTCCCCAGACCCCGCATTCACTATATCCGGTCTCCCCGGACCCCGCATTCACTATATCCGCTCTACCCGGACCCTGCATTCTCTATATCTGGTCTCCCTGGACTCTGCATTCTCTATATCTGGTCTCCCCGGACCCTGCATTCTCTATATCCGGTCTCCCCGGACCCTTCATTCTCTATATCTGGTCACCCCGGACCCTGCATTCACTATATCTGATCTCCTCGGACCCTGCATTCACTATATCCGCTCTCCCCAGACCCTGCATTCACTATATCCGCTCTCCCCGGACCCTGCATTCTCTATATCCGCTCTCCCCGTATATCCGCCCGACCCTGCATTCACTATATCCGCTCTCCCCGGACCCCGCATTCACTATATCTGGTCTCCCCGGACCCCGCATTCACTGTATCTGGCCCCCCCGGACCCGCATTCACTATATCTGGTCTCCCCGGACCCTGCATTCACTATATTCGCTCTCCCTGGTCCCTGCATTCACTATATTCGCTCTCCCTGGACCCTGCATTCACTATATCTGGTCTCCCACAGTTCACAGAACATGGAAATGCAATTATTTTAGTAATTATAAACCCTAAAAACCTTTTTTCATCAGCAGTATATAGCAGTCTTGTGACTTCCCTCAGTGTCCAGCTGAGCACTGTTTAAAGCTTGTAGAAGGAGTTTTTATTTTGGTCTAGGAAGATGCAGGACCCCTGACCTCTGTATGGACAGTGTTGATTGGCCCTATGCTGATTAAATGCACTCTCCCAAGAAAAAAAAAAAAAAACCTCTAGCAATCCACACCAAACCGAGCACGTGCAAAGTGACTCCACACGATATGTCTTATCAGGAGATAAGAGGGGGACACTGGAAGATGGGGCGGATCAAAGAAGTCAGTATCAAACAGCCTTTTTTACACAATACGGAGGATTAACCCCTTAGGTCCCACAGTGAGTATAACAAGCATGTCTTACTGTATATACAGACTGATTGTACTGTTGTGGGTTTAGTAACACTTTAATGAAGGACACTGGCTCTCTGTGTGGAAGCAATGATCTCTCTGCAGAGATCTAACCTTCCCCCGATGAGTCAGATCTATAATGCCACATTCTGCAAAACACCTGCTCTGTGCGTGCTAAAAGTCACTAGGTATTCCAGGTATTTCATAGATGGTCCTGACTGTTATTGTTCTGTATATGGAGTGGAATGTGGTATATCACTACCTATTTTTTTCTTGAATGCTCTGTAATGTATTTAACAAAAATTTAATAGAAACTACTTGATTAACCTCCCTAGCGGTCTGATTATGTCAGTATTTCTGTGCTCAAAGCGGTACATTTTTTTGCATGGAAATATGAAGTTTTTTTCTTGTAGGCCTGTAATTTTTAGGAATAACTCACTGAAATCTGTCCGAACAAGAGTCTAGTAAACATCCCGGGTAGGATAAAATTTGAAACATAAATTATAATTTAATAAATAATCATAAAAAAATAATACAATAATTCAATAATATAATCAAACAAAAAACACTGAAATGTGAAATATAGCGCCAAGTTCGCACATCGCTGAGCAAAGTCGCAGAATCGTTTTCAGTGTCTGATGATGAATTTCCCCCACGAATCATTATCACTCAATTCTGCAAGTGGTTCTGATTTACTATCGCTGTTCTCTAGCCGGTCTAAAACCGCTTTTGACCTAAAGGGACGCTTTTTGGACGCCATGGACGTTTCTCAGTTTCCAGGCAGAAAGAACAGTAAAAATGCAGGCAGGGCGCCGGACAAAGCACTCGGGACAAAATGTATGTGAAATGGTTTGATACAGGAATGTTATACTATGTGATTTTAGTGTATTATGTGCATGTAAAATTTTGACATTTTTTAATCTCCCGCCATTCCATCCCCCGTACGTCCCGACGCTCGCAGGGAATGGAACCCAGAAGATGGAGGCCGGCATCAGCTGGAGGACATGGCTGGGGACACTGCAGGGGGGACATCGCGGGAGCGCGGAACAAGGTGAGTGATCCAGGGATCCCAGAACAACACTGAAGTGTAATCCCGAGTTTAGCTCCGGTTACCTCTTCTTGTACTGAAACTTAACCCCGAGCTACAATCGCGAATACCACCAGGGGGGTTAACTTAACCCATTAGATTTTAGTTGCCTAAAATGTATTGGAGATTGACTAAAATACCACTAAAATTAAATCAATTAAGATGACTAAAATAAAGCTAAAACTAAAATGATATTTCACTCAAAAGGCTATGACTAAAACTAAATCAAAATCTGATGTCTAAATTAACACTGTTATCAACAAATAATTGACCATAGAGCAGCATGGACTGGACATCTGTCCCAGCTATCAGGAGCAAAAGTGTCTCTTAACTAGTTTGACAAAACACAATAAGAGACAAAACTCATGTGTCCTCCTCTGCCTGAGGTGCTTTAGAGCGAGCAGAAGGTGTGCTTAATCCTGCATTCGTGTGTCAGGCATTCCTGCTTTTCTTGCTAGAACATTTATCAGTAGAAACATGTGGTGTATGTTGGAGGTGGCCAAGTTGGAGGTGGCAGCCTAAACTCCTGATACAACTCTGGTAACTCCACCAAAGGGATCTATAGGCCTTCACATAAATCCAGAAGATCATCTGGGATGCACAACAGGTGCTTTCCCCCATTGTGAGTGACACTTAGGACAAAGGGGAATTGCCATTTGTACCCCATACCAAGGGCAGACTGACCATTCAGCCACTCGGGCACTGCCCGAGGGCCTGGGGTCAGTAGGGGGCCCCATGAGATGCCCCTGGTATCTTTCATAGGCTTTTTTGGGTGTGGTTTGAGTGTGGGTGAGGATTATTATTATTATTATTATACAGTATTTATAAAGCGCCAATAGTTCGCTCAGCGCTGTACATTACAAAAGGGAGACAGAACATGTGACAGAACAATACCAATACAATGCAAAACATGAGGGGATCAAGGGCCCTGCTCTTTCGAGCTTACAATCTAGGAGGGAGGGGGTGGTGGCACAGGAGGAGATAGCTGTGGGGGATGGAGTGGTAGGAAGAGTGGAGGAGGTCGGCAAGTTAGCAGGGGGTGGGGTAGGCTTCCCTGAAGAGATGGGTTTTCAGGGTGCGCCTAAAGGAGAGGAGAGTAGGTGATAATCTGATGGGTTGGGGCAGGGAGTTCCAGAGGATGGGTGACACCCTGGAGAAGTCCTGGAGGCGGGCATGGGAGGAGGAGACCAGGGAACTAGAGAGAAGGAGGTCTTGTGAGGAGCGGAGTATGCGTGCTGGGCGGTACTTGGATATTAGGTCAGTGATGTAGTTCGGGGCAGTATGGTGGACGGCTTTGTACGTCAGCGTTAGGATTTTGAATTTGATCCGTTGCGCAATCGGAAGCCAGTGGAGGGATTGGCAGAGGGGGGTGGCGGAGACAGTGCGGTTGGAAAGGTGAATGAGTCTGGCAGCCGTGTTCAGGATGGACTGAAGAGGGGATAGCCAGCGGCGAGGCAGGCCAGTGAGGAGGGAGTTGCAGTAGTCGAGTCGTGATATGATGAGGGAGTGGATGAGCTGTTTAGTGGTTTCTGGGGTTAGGAACGTGCGGATTTTGGCGATGTTGCGGAGGTGGAGTCTGCACGAGTTTGTTAAAGATAGAGGGGCTCCATGATTTCCCATTGCCCGGGGACCCCATGAGTTGTCAGTCCGCCCCTGCCCCATACCTCGTAGTGAGTGTCCAGCAAATGGCGGAACACCTTCCCATTTTTTTGTGTAACTGGGAATAAATCCTGAAACAGCTGTATGGTATCACCATTGAAAGTAAAAATCTCACTCTCTCTGACTTTGGACAAAATCTCCTCTTTCAAAGAGGTGATTGTAGCCGTATTAGTGCATTTGCAACAGAAACAATTGAGCACTGACATGATACGTTTTTATTTGCACTAACATACAATTCTGAGGACAAGCTTTCGGGGTATGTCCCCTTCTTCAAGGTCCAGGCAGTACTACTACCATTGTTATGTGCATATGTTATGTGTATTGTTAGTACAAATAAAAAAAAAGTATCATGTCAGTACTCAATTGTTTCTGTCCTCTTTCAAAGAGAGACTCTGCAAGCAGCAGATGAAATCTGTGTAATCGGATCTGTCGTAATGGGTTCCAGGATCCCCAAACCCATACATTGTTCCTTGTGCCTCTATTATCAAAGTCCTCCAGGTGTCTATTCATTTCCATCAGATGTTGGGGATGCGTAGCGGTCACTTGTTCTAGCCTTTTGCTCGCTTTCTCCCTCTGCTCACCTGAATGTTCAGCAGAAGATATCTGCTCAGTGAGGACAAGTAGATCTGCCTGCCTGAAATCAGTAATGGCACCTGATAATGTGGTTTTACTATCCTCTGCGATCGCTCTCAAACCTGCATATGTGAGCGGATGCAAATTTTCTCTTACCATGTCCTCCAAATGCAGGTTGTGAGATCTCACTGTCCTCTTCTTCTCTCTGAGCTGGAGCCATCTTGCCCCCCCCGCTATTCCACTCCAGGAAGAAGCCTGGGATTGGAATATGTCTTTGTTGTTGTTGCAGCCAAGGAAGATGAGCAGTGCTGATGGGTGAAGGAAGAATATCATATCAGCTTTCCCATATTGTGGCATTCAGGATGCAGGGATGAAAGGCCAAGAGCTGCTAAAACCTAGGAGCTCCTTTAGCGTGCAGCCATTATTGCCACGTAACAAGCCACGTCTCCTTGCAGGTGAAAGTTTGATTTTTTTTATTTTCCTTTCACCAAACCAATAATGCTTAAAGTGGAAGTGGTATTAACTTGTACCTACAGGTAAGTCTATAAGAAGACTCACCTGTAAGTACTGTGAAAATCTAAACTTGGGGTGTTTAGGAGATACTCACACTGGGTGCAATTGGTGACGTCACTGGTGCATGCACTCTGAAGCACACTGTGCTGCCCCTTCATAGATGAATGTTTTGTTTTAATATAAATTATAAATAATTTTATATTTCCTTATTTGGGGGCTTATCAGAATGCTAGACACCAAGGTATAGAGGCAGGGGTGGACTGACAACTCATGGGGCCCCCGGGCAATAGGGGATCATGGGGCTCCTGTGTCCTTGCCCAAACTCAAAAAAGCCTATGAAAAAGGTACCAGAGGCATCTCATGGGGCCCCCTACTGACCCCGGGCCCTCGGACAGTGCCAGAGTTTCCAAATGGTCAGTCCACCCCTGTATAGAGGTGTACATCAACAAATAATATTGAGCTTTTTAATTTTTATGTTAATTATCTGAAAAATTTAATGTGACCATTTTTACCAATAAAACATAATTATGTAACATGGTTAAAACTAAATTGTATAATTATTATTATTATTACATCGAGTTTATATAGCGCCAAAGGATTTGCTCAGCGCTGTACAATAGGGGGGGACAATACATGGCACAGTACAACAATAACAAACAACGTACGAGGGGTAAGAGGGCCCTACCTTTGAGCTTACAATCTAGGAGGGAGGGGGTAAAGGTACAGTAGGAAGTGGCTGAGGGGAATGAGGG